CCCCCCGCCGCTCTCCTCAGCGTCTGCTCAGCTCTGCAGACCAGGGAGACGCTGAGCAAAGCCGCGGAGGACCCGGGCCGGACCGCGGCGCTGATCTGGAAGCGCCACAGTTCGGCCCGGGTCCTCCGCAGCTTTGCTCCACGTCTCCCTGGTCTGCTGGGGATTTCTGGCGATATCATAAACAAAAGGAAGAATCTACAAAAGCTATATTGTCCTTTAAGTGAACAGCTCAGAATCGTTCTCAATCTATAGCCTCAGTCCAAAAACACAGGAGAGACAAGGGCTGTCTCAGACATTTAGGAGGTTCAGCCTACCGAGTATCAGAAGTTACCTGCTTGCTGTGGTGACAGTTTTGGATTTTACATACAGCCCTTACAAGGATGAAGGAAAGAAAATTCATTTGTTCTTTCTGGAGCAGAGTCGGCAACTTATGGCACGTGAGCTGATTTTCAGTGGTATGCGGGAGGAAGCTCAGCCCTGCCCCTTTCCCCTGCACAGCTGCTGGAGAGCACCCCCACCTCCCAGCAGCAGGTTAGGCTTCAGTGGAAGGAAACAGCACTGGGGCTGAGGCTCCTCAGCTGAGACCGGAGGTGCTTCTGCCATAGCCACCTGGTCCAGGCACAGACCAAAAATCGCATGGCAGCGGGACCTCCAGGGCTGGCCCCAGACCACGTGGCCACAGCAGCGGAACCTCCAGGGCCAGCCCTAGACCATGTGGCTGTGACAGTGGGGCCTCCGGGGCTGGGCCTGGACCACCTTCAGGGCAGCCCAGGACAGCATGGCTGCAGCCATTGTTACAAGGGGCGCAAAGCCAGGTAAGGTCCCCCTTCATGCCCAGACCTCTCACCCTTTCCCTCGCCAAGACCCTACACCCCCAGCTTGCTCTGACACCTTCTCTTGCTCCTGCTCCCTCCTTCCTGCCGGGGCACCCCACCCTGCTCCTTTCCCCCTTGGCCCGGCCACACATTCCCACCCTGCTCCTGCAGCCACAGTTGCTGCTGCACCTTCTTCCCTGGCCACACTGCCCCCTCCCTTACTCCTGCCCCCTCCACCTGGCCAGACATCCTACTCCCAGCCTGCTTCTGCACTTACCTCCCATCCAGACTTTGCAATCTTTCCCTCTTCTGCACCCCACCTCCCTCCCAGATCCTGTACCCCCAACCCTATCCTACTTCCTGGCAGCACAGTCTCACACACTGTACCCCTCATTTTTGTCCCCACCCCAGAGTCTAAGGGGGTCCATAAAATCCAGTAACTCCAGCATGCCAGAAGAGTAAATCTGGCCCATGGGAAACCCTCAACCTTAGTCCTCCCTGTACCTTCCCCTCACCCTCTGAGGCTGGGGCACCAGAGGAGTGAGGTGTCTCAGTTGGGGGCCACATTACTGAGGGTTGGGGGGTTTTGGAGGAGTTTTTTTGCTTCTCACTTATGTGATCCCCAACTGATTTTTTTGTGGGTCAATGACCCCTCAACTCAAAAAAGATTCCCCACCCCTGACATACATAAAGAAAACATGGATATCTTGTATGTTGTACATTATAATTTACTTCATTTAAAATGAAGTTTGCTAAACTAACATGAGAAAGTTAAAACGCTTAATCTGTTTAATAATTAAATCATTTTCCCTAGCTGCAACTGATTCAGAAAATATGGTCACCCTACCCAGCCTGCTCTTGCCTCCTCTTCCCTCTCCTCCCCCCCGCCCACTGATCCGTGAATAAGTTAAATCTTGGTGCGCTGCTTCTGAAAGGTTGCCAACCCCTGCACTAAAAGGTAAGATCCGCATCTTTCTTTATTAATGAAGCTGCTGCAAATTGGACTACCATTCACTATAAAAAGTATCACCAGCACTCGGACCCATACATAGAGGTGAATAAGTCAAATCTTGGCACTCCCCCTCTGAAAGGTTGCTGACCCCGGCTCTAAAGCTTGGGGCTTTTAGAAACTCGTTTTGGGCTTTGTCATGGTTGAAGACAACTGCATGTTTAGTCCCCATGTGGTCCAGCAACAGCACCCACATTTCAGTCCACATTCAGCACTCCCGACAGAGAGCAGAGTCAGGGACTTGCAAGACTCTGTGCACCAACCCAACTTCCCTGATAGGAGTGCTAGTTGGTGGAACAGAACAAGCTCCTGACCCCACTCCCCTGGAGCAGCAGGCAGGCAGGCAGGCAAACAGGGGCAAGCCCTTTCCTTGATCCCCATTCCTGGAAGGAGAGCAAGGGGCAGTAAAGTTGGTGGAGGGCGCAGGGCAGATTGTTATGGAGGGCTCACATTTTATGGGTCCCCTGGCCAGAGCATCTATCCCTCTCCCTGTTCCAAGGCTAGCTGAGGGCAGGGGAAAGGCAGTACCATGGCTGCTACCATTGACCCAAACCTGAGAACATTAGAGCTTAGTGCTTCCTACAATTCATAGTCCCATTGACATAAGGTATTTGACTCTCTGTACCTTGCAATGAGACTGGACACAAAGTAGAAAAATTAAATCTCCAGTGAAATTCCACACACTTTTAAAAAGTCCTTGCAGATCTCTATTATACTGGATTATACTTGCAATTTATTACAACACTATACATCAGAAATGTTTCTTTTACCTTTTCTATCTTCCTACTAGCTTCCATAACTTCTGGAACATTCTGGAATTCCTTTAATAAATTCTCAACCTTCTTTCCAAACTCTTCCATCCATAAAGAAGAAGCTTTCATTTCTGAAGAATGCATTAATTCATTGCGACACCTAATCACCTAAACATGAGAATATAAAGAAAAACAGCACTGCCACATTACCATCATGCCCATCCCATAGCACAATTTTTCAGAACATATATTAATTAAAATTAATTAGAAATGGTATGGTAGATTGTACCTCTCTGACTTTCTTTTGGTCAATACCTTTGAAGTGATTACAAAAGTTGAAAAGGTTTAGAAGAGCAGATGCATCACACTTCTCTGGTCCAGAAATATTCATCTGCCCACGGGGCATATAAGCCTGCATAACAAAAGTGCATAATACCAACGTCATTTTTGGTTTCAGGAAGTACAGAACTATGTCATTTCCTTATCTGCTTATAAGCGTTGTTAATGTTTCAAAATGATATTGCCTTAAGTAAATGCAATAAACTAGAACAGTCTTCCACAGCTCCACTTGCTACATTTGCCAGTTAACAATGAGTTCAAGCAAATGGTTATTTCCTTCACAATCGTTGAATCGTCCCCAATTGAATTATTCGATTCTGCAATGAAGTCACAATGGTATGCACACTATAATGTATAGTTATACACATGACTTCCTTACCTCACTGCCTACTTTGCAGCTTATGTCAACTCTGCTCTTCTCGCCATACCCCACAAAAGCTTCTTATGCCACCCTCCTATCTCCCTCTATTTCAGGGACACCCCACACCTCCAACTCCCTTCATCATGTCAAAGGTTCGGTGTTCCCTCCTACCTTCTATGTTTCCCATTTCCCCCCACCCCTACTAGGTACTCTGTGCCCCACTTAAGGGGAGCCAGAACAGGGGAAGCTAAGCAGCCATGGTACTCCCACTTTTCCAAGTGGACAGGACAGATTTTCACCCAAATCAATGTTCTCCCCACCAATGCCTTATCATCTTACAAACAAATCCCATTGAGCTGAACATAGGGCTGCACAAGTTCAGCCATTCAGGTGGGAGGTGAGTGAGTGAGAGAAGAGCAAAGCATATTTTAAATACACATTTGCAATGCTAGACAAAATTAGGAAGTGGGGAGGAGCATCACTTTTCGCTTCAGGGGCACTGCAGATCATATGTACCAGCACAACATACCACCATTGTCCCCTGAACACTACCCAGCTATACTATTCTCTAGAATGAAGCACCAGGATTATAAGTGGACTGAACCCTTAGTCAACTCACCTGCCTGCACAGACCATCAGCTCTAAGCCATTGGTTCACAAAGATGAAAAGTCTATTTAGTGTAAAATTGTGTGTTATATTGCTACTCTGAAGGGGGTTTTCTTTTTTAATTAGTTTAAAGAGATTTGTGAGACAAGTAGTTATTTAATTGAGAATGTACAAACACATTACTGAATACTTTAATACAAACACTAACTGAAACATGGTCTGCAGAGGCTGTTCAACAAATCATGAAGCAGAATAGAAATGCCAGCAATTTTGCATGGTACCATTGAACTTTACAACGCTGCAATTACCACCAAATACTACTCCTAATAAATTTTCCACTGTATTTCTTAGTTCGTCCCAAAGAAAAATTGTTATACACTTGGATTTAAGCCAAGTCAATGTGTATTCAAATCCAGGATAAAAGAAGAGTTAAAATCAAATTAGTCAAGCCCAAAAGGGTAGTGACTTCAATGTTCAGATCATGAAAACGTACAATTAGCCCCTGCAATCTTCCCTTTTGTCATTTGTAAGAAAAATGGACAATACGTGTGCAACAGGTTGTTCTCTGATGATGGTATTCGGCCCCCACTGAAGACAATGGGAGTTTCACCATTATCTTCCACAGGGCCAGGATCTCCCCATAGATCCAAATCCCACCATGACAGACTCTTATGCAGCCAAACTGAATTCTGCATGGAACTACATGTGGATGAAAGTGGGGACAGGAGCTGACCCCAAGCCTGATTATTCTAAACAAATTATTTTAATTGCGTTATTACCTTTGCAAGTTCCCAGGAATCAGAAGGCCAGAGCTCGGGTTTGCAATTTTCCCAGTGAATTTCTCCATTCTTGTTGGTGTGATGTTTCAAAATTTCCTTTTTCCACTCTGCACACACTGAACAGTTAGACTGAAACTAAAAGGGAAAAAAGGGGAAGAAACCTAAGTAATTTATCTTCGTATTTGCATCCTTTAAATTACACTTTAAAAAGTTTCCTACATTTAAGTAGAGGCTAGAAAAAGGATTCAAGGGCTATTCATTCAGAAAAACCTATCAAATGCACAGATTCTTGTATGCAGCAGTGCTGAACTGTTACACAAAGGTGTAACTGAGACTTTAGGTATAATATTAGGTCAGTAGCCTCTCGCCTCTAGAGACCTGGGTTCAAGTGTAAGTCAGGACTCAAATGGAAAGGTGTCTAAAGCTTCTTTTATCAGGAGTTGATGCCACTACTAAACAGATGTCTCAAATGAGGCATGCCTGACAACTCCATGATGAAAGAGTAGAATACTTTAGCAGTCAGGCATTTTTTCTTCACAGTTTACGGTAGGGTTAATGAAACACATATCTTAACATGGCTGAAACCTTAGGGAATTTTCACTGCGAAGGAGGTCCTAACAGCTAACACATTTAACTAAATATTCCAATTTAACTTTTCCGATTGTTCTTTCTCCGTGTGCATACAAATACTCCAACAACCTACCATTAATTTGTGGGGTGCAGGGATTAAATGTGCATGTGAATTAGACTAACTCCCCAAGACAGAATCTTTATTTTATTTTCTAGGTCTCATGTAGTGCCCAGCATTCTTATAGGGCTGCACAAATAAATAATTGTGGGTGATACTGAAGAACACTAACGAGAATGTTTATCATCTTGAATTATGTTACATGGTTTGTTTTTAAATGTACTCTGAGGAGGATCAGTGAGCTGCCAGCTCTCAATACATTGTTTCTAGTATACAATAAAATAATAATATTAATTAATTATTACTATTACTACTGTATTTTATCGAGTTAGAGGTCATGCCTCCACAGTTGAGATTGAATTTAGCTTTGTACCTAATGCAAAGTTTCAAACTCTTTGTTATCTATGAAAAATACAGGATACCCTCTACAAGACTACTGAATTTATTCTGAGCACAGAATGAGTTTTCTGAGAACGTACAAGTAAACCCATTCACTAGTTTTTGTTAATTAAAATAGGTCCTTTAAGATAGTCATTCTGTCAAACTTAAACAACAAAAATTAATTGTTTAGGTTTTTTCAGTTACAGACTAACAGCTACCATTCTGAGTCAGTCCTTACTGAACCTATATGCTTACTAACAGAATAATGTAAACACCCTCGTAAACATTAGGGTCATTATTAACACATTTCAGAATATTGTCCCAGATTAGACTAAACTGATTTTTAAAGGCATTTTAATTTATTTAGCTTCTTCATGGTGTTACTACAGAGCAGTCAAGCTACTTTGGGGTGTAGTTACTGAATTTCCATACCTTCATCTGTACTTCTTTTAAAACTAAGCAGAACTCTGAATTTCCTGGATTGATCGTGCTTATTTTTAAATATAACACAGTTGTGGATATATCATAATTAACACAATAGTCATATTTTAATGTTACTGTTACAATAAATTAACATTAGTGAAAATGAGATTAGAAATCACATTATGGTGCTTAGGGAAAGCTTTATTTTAAACTACTATACATAGATTGGTACAAGCATCAATTTTTCCTCATGAGACGACTATAAAGAAGCCTTGCAAGAAGACTTCACTATGTTCAAATCTGTCCAGTGCTATTAAACATTCACTTTCATGGTGCAATAACACTTATTACAGTAAATCCTCAGAGTTACAAACACCTCTGGAAGAGAAGTTGTTCATAACTCTAAGCAAAAAACCCCCCAAAAACCCTACCCATTATGGTTGTTATTTCAAAGAGTTTACAGTTGAACACTGATTTAATATAGTTTTGAAACTATTCTGGGCAGAAGAAAAATGTTCCTTTCACTTTTGTTTACAACACAGTACTGTGTTGTATTTGCTTTTTTGATTTGGGTCACCTCTGCTGCTGCCTGATGGCGTACTTCTGGTTCCACATGTATTCTGTGGTTGATTGGTTAGTCTACAGCTTTGGTGTTTATAACTCTTGAAGTTCTACTGTATTCACTCTACTTTCTCCTACATATAAACTGAAACAGTTTTATCACAAGTAAGGCTGCCAAATTAATTGTGATTAACTGCACTGTGAAATAACAGAACATTTATTTAAGTATTTTTGGCTGTTTTCTGCTTTTTCAAATATATTGATTTCAATTACAACACAACACAAACTTTAGAGCATTCGCTTTATTTTTAATTACAAATATTTGCACTTTAAAGACAAAAGAACTAGTATTTTTCAATTTCTCTAATACAAGTACAGTTGTGCAATCTCCTGATCATGAAAGCTGAACTTACAAATACAGAACTATGCACAAAAAATAACTGCACTCAAAGCCAAACCAATTTAAATCTTTAGAACAGAGATTTCAAACTCCTAGCCTATGGGCCAGTACCAGCCAGAGCAATTATGCAATCTGGCCTGGGATTCACAGGTATTGCCCGCCCGACCTGTCCACCCCAGGGATGGGAGGGGAGACGGGGAGGAAGAGGACTTGGGAGTTTGAGACCCCTATTTTAGAACCTATAAATCCACACAATCCTACTTCTTGTTCAGCCAATCATTCAAACAAGTTTGTTTACATTTGCAAGAACTAATTCTACAGGTTTTTAATTTAAAATGTCACTTGAAAGCAAGACTGGTGCCCATGCTGACGACAGGTTCTGCTCAATAATGATGCAGAGCAGTATAGATCGATATGTTAATTTTAATCATCTGAATCAGATGCCACTATGGATGTAATAGTATAGTCGATAAACCGATAAGCAAAAGCTTATAGGTTAATGCTATAAACTACACACATTCTCCCCCTTCCCCACCTCCAGTAAATTTTTTACCAGGCTGATCAGTAGTGCAGCTCAGTCCCGGCTTGCGCCAGGTCCAGGACCTACTCCCTCTGTGGCTCTGCATTTGAAGCGTATTAGGAGCCAGGCAGGCAGGCAAGCTGGCTCAGTTCCAGCTCATGCCGGGTCCGAGAGCTCAGACATGCCCCCAGACAAGGGCTGCTGCCACCCTGTGCTGCTGCCTCTGTATCAGAGGCAGCAGCATTGGGTGGCAGGCAGCTAGTCCATGAGGGGAGCTGGTTTTTAAACTGGCTCCCATCATGGACCAGCTCCCACCTGGCACCTCATCACACTGCTGCCTCTGTATCAGGGGGCTCCTTGGGAATGAGGTGAGGCTGGAACGCACTGGCTGCTGTCCTCACCCCTAGGGACTATAGAATAGTCGAGTAACCAATAAGAATTCATGAGATTAATTGACTATTCAGTTAATCGATATTTAACATCCCTAGATGCTACCACCAGAAGGCTAGTTTTCTTTTCTCGTGGTTTAGGTTCTATAGTTTCAGCATCACAGTGTTGCTCTTTTAAATCTTCTGAAAGCATGCTCCACACCTTGTCCCTCAAATTCTGAAAGGCACTTCAGATTCTTAAACCTTGGGTCAAATGCAGTACAGTACCTATCTTCAGAAATCTCACATATCTGGCACAAATACCTTACAATGCCAGCTACAACAGTGACATGTAAACACCTGTTGTTACTTTCAGCTGATATTGTAAATAAGAAGTGGGCAGCATGATCTCCCATAAATGTAACAAACTTGTTTGAGTGACTGAACAAGGAACAAGAAGCAGGACTAAAGGACTTGTAGGGTCTAACGTTTTACATTGTTACAGAACTGCACCCAAAACAATCTACATTTGTAAATTGTATTTCCACGATAAAGAGATTGCACTATAGTACTTGTATGCTGTGGATTGAAAAATGCCATTTTATAATTTTCACAGTAAACACAAAATAAAAGTAATATTACTGTACACTTTGTATTCTGTTTAGCTGAAATAAATACATTTGAAACTGTAGAAAAATATCCGAAACATTTAAACAATAGAATACCAATTGAAATTAAGTGTGATTAAAATGCAGATAAATCACAATTAATTTTTTAATCATGATTCATTTTGAGTTAATTGCACAGTTAACTGTAATTAACTGATAACCCAATCATAACTGATTTTCATACAACAAAATGACACCTATGTATTTATAACTGCTATGTATGCCATGCAAAGAGACAGGAGTTTGAGAGCAAATACAGGAGTCACGGCAGGCAGTTAAGTGCCTTGTAGAAGACACAAAGTAAGCTGCAGAAGGAGCAGAGCTGAAATCCAGTAAGTCCCATAGCACCCTCTTCTGAGCCAATATTAGACTCGGAAATTGAATGGCTGGAATAATAATGGGCCACAAAGCTGTTAATCAGAAAAAAATTCTCTATCTTCTAATTTTTTTCCTAACATCCCACCTACAACTTGTTTTCTGGACTAACAATAAGGGAACTCTAATGTGAAGAAAGGCAGGAGGACCCAATCCTGCAGCCCTCTTGTGACTGTTGTTGAGATTAAGTAAATAGATTTTTGCAGCTAGAAAAACTCTGAGGTCTCTCAAGTGCATCTAGTTTAGGGAGGGACAGTAAGTGAGCCAGGCACATTAGCTAAGTTTGGCCTCTGGCAGGTTACCAGACACCTGATTTACCTGCACATTCACAGGTATGGCTGTTCGCAGCTCCTATTAGCCGCAGTTCACCGTAGGAAGCAGTGGCAGCCCACACCACTTCACACAGTTCCCATTGGCTGGTAAGGGTGAACCGTGGCCAAGAGGAACTGCAAGCGGCCATACCTGCAAACACGCAGGTAAATAAACTGTCTGGCAACCCACTAGGGGCCAAGCCTGGCAAACAGTGTCCAGCCCGCAGGCTGCTTATTGTCTAGCTCTGGTCTAGTTGAAGATAGTGCTAGAAAAAAGAAGCAGTTCCCCACCACCACCAGTGGAAAAAGAATTTCAATTTCATATTCACTTCAAGAATTAAGGTAATCAAAAAATGAATGAAATAGAAAAGGATGATGACATGACACATTTCTCACAACCCTGTGCTCTCTCCTAAGCCTTTCAACACTTCTCCCAAACATCTGTTCCCAAAGAAGCCCTGTTCCTACATTTCTTTTAAGCAGCAGTGCCATTTATAACACTGTTGACGGTGACTGCTCAAAATTCATGAATCAGCCATCTAAAAATTATAATAATTTTAAAAAGTAATATGCTTGGAGAGAGGAGGGTTAGTTGCCTGCTGGTTCTGCAGCCTTTAGGCTACTCTCAGATCATGCTTTCAAGGTTTTTTCCACAACCAAGGGAGCTAAAACTTACTTCAAATCACAGTCCAAAATCTCTCAGCATAATTGAATAGTTGTGTAACTGCATCAAATTTTAGCAGTTACACAACTATTCATAACTGACTGGATAATTGTTCTCTGAGAGAGTAGTTATTAAAAGTTCACAATCATTCTGGAAGGGCATGACTAGTGGGGTTTTGCAGGGATCTATGTTGGGACTGATTCTGTTCAATACCATCATCAATGATTTAGATATTGGCATAGAGAGTATGCTTATTAAGTTTGCAGATGAGACCACGCTGGGAGGGGTTGCGCAAGTGCTTTGGAGCATAGGGTCATAATTCAAAATGGACAAACTAGAGAAATGGTCTGAGGTAAACAGGATGACCTTTAATAAGGACAAATGAAGTCAAACAGTCAATTTCACACATGCAGAATGGGAAGTGACTGTCTAGGAAGGAGTACTGTAGAAAGAGATCTAGGGATCATAATAGACCACAAGGTAAAAAGGAGGTAATGGTGGTGAAGTACCATATTACCTGGTGAACTCATTGGTGCTGAAATCATTAAGGACTGGAATTTGACCACAGAACTGACACTTTCTTAACAAAGACTCCATTTTTAAAAAGTAAATTAACGTAACAGAAAACTGCAACGCTCTCTGGTAAATTTTTGAAAATCAAACTTTATTGAAAAAATTGGATAGTTTGCAATTGAAAATATTTGACCTATGCTTAAAGGAACGGATTTAATTTTGTGTAAAATTTTGCTTAATAAAGGATGGCACTTTTTTTTGAAAATGTTCAATTATATAGATATACATTTTGATCAGATCTACTTGATGTGATATTTGTGTGGGTTGTGGGGTTTGTCTGGGGTTTTTTTTTTTTTTGGTTTGTTTTTTGCTCAACAAAAAATCTGGGGGGGAGGGAGAGCCCACCAAAATGGTTCGAATTGGGCCCCCGCACTTCCTAAAGCCGGCCCTGGGGACAGGCTTGGTGATTTCTCAAGGTCCCTTCCAGTTTTAATAGTCTGATTCAGTAGTCTCTAGGGGCAGAGGCAGCAGGGGAAGGGAGGAAAATGTGGGTAGTCTCTACCACATTAGCCAATAAGATCAGGTTAATCATGTAGTCGTCTGCACGCTGGCATCCCTAATCACCCCACTGCAGAAATTAGGACTTGAATAAACTGTCATTGCTAAACCTACAGTGACATCACCCTGCTGATTTCCTATGGCCAATGTAAGGCTGGTGCACTCCCCGGTGGCAGGATGCCAACTTTTCAGGAGTTTCCTCCTCTCCGGGAATCCATCTTTAAAGGTTGGCAGGGGAGGGCGCCTCCACGAATACGTCCAACCCAAAGAGGAACCTCTAGGGCAGCGGGCTGGCCCTGGCTGCGAGCACGTGTCACGGCCGCCCAGGGGCTGAGACCGAAACACGGGGCGCTGCCCACCCCCGCCCGGCGCAAGCAGCCGCTCACCTGCTTGCTCCGCGGACGGCAGCGGCCGCGGCAGCAGCCCAGGGGCGCCAGGCGGGCGAGCAGCTGGCGGTGGAAAGCTTGGAGCTGCTCCCCGGCGAAGCGCCTGAGCGCGTCCCGCAGCACCAGCAGGCAGTGCCCGGCCTTCAGCCAGTTCTTGTACTCGGCGCAGTTCAGCCGCGCCTCCAGCGCCATGGCCCGCCGCCGCCTTCCGGGGAGGGAGCCCTCGCTTCAGCCCCAGCCCCCGCCACCAGCCGGCTCCGCCCAGGCTGCAGCTTGGCCCAGGGGGGAGCGCAAGCGGCGTGGGGGCCGAGCAGCGCGCGTCCAGCAGAGCCACGTGCGCCGCCTCTTCGGGCCGGCGAAAGCCCCCTTTTCCCGCCGCCTGGCTGCAGCGAAAGGCCAGGAGTTTAAGGGGGACGAGACGACAAAATACTCCGGCTCAACCTGGCCTGAGAGCTGGAGCCCCAACCCTCAATGTGGTCAAGCCTGCCTGGAAGAGGGCGGGCTCACAGGCCCTCTACTCAGGAATTCCTGGGGGCAGGAGGGTGGGTGGGTGTAAATGTAGATAATTTTTTTTTAAATATAAAGGAGTTCACCATAGTTATGCAATGTGTGGGCATGAGAAATGTGAGCAGAAACAGTGATTGACAAAATGATTTTGTTACACCCTACTAACAATTCATACAGGAATAAAGGTTTTATAGAAGTTACAATATTACAGCCAGATTCCAGAAGGTAAGTGAAGTATTCTAAAAAGTTCCCAGGAGGCCAGGGCAGAATCAGCTCAGCCCACCAGGCTGTGGCTGCCCTGCCCCGCCCTGCCTGGCAGGCTCAGCCCCAGCCTCTTCCTGGGGAAAAGGAAGGGGGAGAATCAGCCCCAGTCTCACCCTAGCTGGCCAGAGCTGGGGCAACGGTTTATTTACCGCCCCCATCTTCTCCTATGAACAGGATTCCAGCAGCTGGAGCTTTCAGAGAAACTCCTCTTGGAGTTCTCAAACAGAAATGAGAGAAGACAACCCCAGAAGCTTACAAGAAAGGGCCCTTCCATTATAATGCCAGCTGCAAATCCCATCTCCCTCCAGTGAGGTAATCACCCACATTACCCATAGTTGATAGGCAAGGAGGGGGGAAGAATCGCCATGCCTCCAGCTTCCACCCCAGATACATTTCTCAATCTATTGTCAGGAGTGGCCCGACGCTGGCTGTGGCAGCTGGCACCCCAGGGGGAACGTGCAGGGCCGTCAATGGACTGACATCATTGGAGGGCACCCCCATGACATCATCATCCAACACCCCACATGGCGCCGCCCTAGGCAGTGGCTGAGTCTGCTTACAGCCATGGGCCGCCCCTGTCTGTTATATACAGCCAAGCCCTAAGATATAACCAGATTTGCTCTGATCCCACAAACAGGAACAAACACCTAAGCAGTGGTCCGCAGCATGGTGCCTGCGGGGGCATTTATGCACGCCTGCCTAGTGACCAGGGCCAGCCCGAGTCATTCTTGCGCCCCGGGCGTGCGGTGCATGCGCAGCCCCCGGCACATGCGCGTGCCCCACCCCAGGTGCATGGCGCATGCACAGCCCCTGCCCCCACGCTCCCGGCAGCCCCAAAAGGTTGGGGACCACTGACCTACAGGATCTTTATAGAGCATTCCTAAAACTGATACTCACCTGGAGAAGTGAAAAAAGATTGACAGAGCCAAAAAAGTGCCCAGACATTAACTACTTCAAGACAGACCCAAAAAGGAGAACTGTAGAATTCCACTTATTACCTATAGTCCACAACTCAAATCCTTCCAATGCATTATAGACAATCTGCAACCCATCTTGGAAAATGATCCCTCACTCTCAGAGGCCTTTGGGGAAAAGCCCATTCTCACAGATAATCCCCCAACCTGAAATGAATTCTTTCCAGTAACCATGCTACACAATCACATCATAAACATCAAGGAACCCAGCCCTGCAATCAGCTGTGGTGCCAACTCTGCCCACACATCTAGACAAGCAAATTCATTATTGGAGCCAACAATATAAAGCTACCAAATCAGAGGATCATTCAATTGCACATCCAGTAATTTGATCTATGCCATATGTATTGCACAGACCAGACAGTCCCTACGGGAAAGAATCAATGGACACAAAACAGATATACGTAAAAGGAACATACAAAAACCTGTTGGAGAGCACTTCAATCTACCTAATCACACTTTAAAAGATCTCCAGGTAGTGGTCTAATCACAAACCAATTCTACAAGTCAAATACACAGAGAGGTGTTGGAATTACAATTCATCCTCAAGTTCAGTTCTCATGCTGATGGCCTCAATTGTGATGAGTGATTGTTGGGATACTATCAACCTAACATTCAATGAAGGTGCAAAGAGCTCTTTGTCTAGATGCTAGTGTTAGCACCCTTCCTATCTATTATTATCCTTTGATCTGTTTCTTTTCAACTATCCAATCTTCAGGTGTGTATAGATTGCCAGTTCTGCCTACTTGTTTTTCCCTTTGATATTTCCAGACCCTCTGCTCCTTCTTTCCATCCCTCCCCCCTTCCCTCCCTTACCCTTCTCCCCTATTTATTTTGGGTCTGCACATCCTAATCTCAAAACTCCGGTCATCTGAAGAAGTGGGTTGTGCCCATGAAAGCTCATACCCCCATCTATATGTTTTGTTAGTCTTTAAAATGCTACCAGACCATTTATTGTTTTTTAAGTTTATTCTGTACAGACTAACTCAGCTACCCCCTGCATAGGGCCAGCCCACAACATTTTGGCACCTGAGGCTGGGAGCTCAAATGACAGCAGACGACAATTTTCTACACTCTAGGTCCTAGTGGTGCCCCCCTCCTCCCCCCAGTCTGGCACCTGAGGCAGCCATCTTAGTTTGCCTTATGGTAAGACCAGCCCTGCCCCTGCAGTAATTAATGAACTGCTTAGTTGCTATTCTTGTGGGAAGGCTATTTAGATGACAGTGCATCTATGTTAAAGTTTCTATAACTGATTTAATAATATTGCTATTCCAAAAGGAAGACTGGACCCAGGATTACAACCCAAAGCATAAGGTGGTATATCCCCAAAACATGCTCTTACAGCTTAGGCTCAGACATTTATGGAAGAAGAGTTGTAGCTCACAAAAGCTTATGCCCTAATACGCTAATAAAATGTTAGTCTTTAAAGTGCCACTGGACTCATTTTTGCTGCGACCTACTAACACGGTGACCCCTCCTTTACCATTATGTAAGTCCAGCTAAATTCATTTGGTCTAACTAGAGAAATCGGTTACTGTGGCATGCCTCAAAAAGGTTCCATATAGATCCGAGTGATGACAAATTTAAAAATACCCTCCTGTGACATAACTGCAGTAGAATTTCTGGTAGCAAGCTCCTTAGCTTGCTGAATGGTTGACCTTCATTAATACATGGCAAAACCTCTTGCTCCGGTCAGAAGCCAAGTTTATCCATCAGCATGCAATGTAGTTAGTCTCTGCTTAATAGAGGAGTTTCTCTGATGGATTTATTAGAGATGCTGGAGACTAAAATATTACTGCCTATACTACTAAAGCTAGAGCATGTCAGTGCTACTGCCAACAAGAGAGACCCCTTTGTTGCCACATTTTTAATCTAAATACATATATTCCACCATCTGTCTAGTAGACTCTACAGCCCTCATGTGGTTAAAGGAAATAAAGATGAACAGCATTTAGAAGGATCACTCACCTGCTTTTGAAAATAAATATCCATAATGCACTTTGCATAATGGTATTCTTTAGTACTTATGCAGCAGCAGAGTGAGCTCACTGTAGTGATATCCTGGGCAGAGCTGATGGGCAACCTCAATAATGGGTGGTATTAGCATATTCCACTGTAAAAAAAACCCAAAACTTAGAATGTTGCCAAACTTTAACCATTTAGACTGATGTTGCTCATGCCAGAGGTCTTCCTCATTTTTTTAATTTCAAACAAAATGTTTCAGCAGGTTCCAGAAATGAGAGTTGAGAATGATGCATTGCCCATTTAAAAATAAATCTGACCTTTTCCTTGAAAAAGTTGAGTGTTCCCAAGATTTGGAGCAGGGACTTGAAATTTGGCAGGGGACAAGCCTTAGAGTCAGGGATGTGTCTTGTCAATCCAGTGAAAACACACCCAAATTTAACTATAAGATTTAGGGGGTTAGAGGAAAGGAAAGGTGTGCTTAACTGTGCAGTAACTGAGGTTCTTCCAGCTGGCTGTCCCTGCAGGTTCTCCACTTTAGGCAGAGCCAGCCTGTCCATAGGATGGTTTGAGGCAGCTACCCTGGACCTCATGGGCAGCAGTGGGAGACTACCTGCAGCAGCAGTGGGGAGCTCACCCCTGCCCTCAGCATCAGGAGCTGCATGAAGCAGAGCTACACAGCCCTCGCTGCATTGTTCTGCTTCTCTAGTGGGAAATAGAATTCTCCAGCTCCAGCTCTCCTTCCCTGATCAACAAACATAGCTGGGCTCAGGGAAACCCAGCAGGCTGGGGCCAGGCTGATCTGCTTTCTGACACTGTGGTGGAGCACTGGGCTCCCCTGCAGTATTCCTTCCCCACAGCACAGCTTCATAGGTGATTAATCAGCCACACCCAGTCAGTCAGAGCTGCATGTGTTAGAGCCCTGAGCTTCTGACTGGGTAGGGCTGATTAATTACCTGTGAAGCTGTGCTGCTGCATAGCTTAGACTGGGACCACTGCTCCCCAGTAATCCTCTGGGTCACATCGCTCCCGGAGGAAGCGGAAGAGGTGGGATGAGAGAAAGAGGGTGTCCCAGGCCCCTCACCGCTTTAGGGACAACACTGACTTTAGGTGACTTGAGCAGTGCCCCTCAATGGAAAAAGGGGCTTCAGAGATGCAGTCATGGCAGATGATAAAACCACAATTACCAGTAAAGCATTTGATAGCATTATGCCATATGGCAGTACTTGCTATGTGAATGTATAGGCTGATGCCCTGGCTCTGGCTTTGAAGATATTCGTAAATGGTACATTAATTTACCGAGGAAGGCTATCACAGCAGAGAAACCTCTGGTAAAGTAAATAGGGGTCCCTGGTGGACGTTGTAGCTGTGGATGGCAGTAGCTAAGGTCAAAGCAGCCAGAGATCGATTTAGACAGCCTGTTTGTATATGGCATCCTCCTCAGATCATACTGACATAGAACGAAGCATCTAAAGAATAAGTTTTACATCCCAAAAAGTCCAGCCTTTTCTAGAGCCTGTCATAGGCTAGATCTGGAATTATGTCATCTGCCCAAGTTGTTCACAGCCTCTACTATGAGAGAGTTTGATGTGGGGTGCAAAAAATAGAAATTCCATGCCCTTGGAAGTGACATACTATTGTTATCTGCTCTTTTGCAGATAGGTGGAATTGTTCTTGGGTCAGCTAGATAGTTTTGGTGGAGTCCACAGGAACCTCATTTATTGTGATGACAATTTTGGAGAAGTTTAAGTCTGGAGAATGTCCAGGACAGGACTCCACAATTTCTTCCAATGGTATTTCCAGGGAATCTGCAATCCTCTTAATTTTTTCCTGGGACTGTTAAGAGGCAGCCCCTGTTGTGGGTGATGGGAACATGATAGTTTCATCTGGAAAGGAGGATGACAAATTGGCAGCTTGCGTGAATTCCTGTTCGAATCTCCTCCAGTTCCATCACTGCCTGTTATGGAGGTTAAGAGGCTCCAGTTGCAGAGAGTGATGGAAAATGCCTTGACCACTCCATAAGTAGACTAGCAGGCTTAGGATAGCATTGGCAGTATGCTGCTCATGAGTCCCAGTAAGGCTGCTGTGGTGGAGCATAAGTGGCAGCATCAGTGGGTGTCTGTACCATCCTTGAGTTTCAGGCCTGGTATTCTTGGTGCCCTGGTGGACCTGGTCTGGTAGCAGTGTGGTTAGGCAAGGAATGATGGGATGAGTAGATTTCTTCATCATCATCGCTACATAAAGGAGAAGCTGACATAGGCAGCATGGTAAATTGCACAGTATTGACTGTGTTGAATCTTTCCTCCTCAGTTCGGAACTGATTCCAAGTGCCAAGGAAACTGGAAGAATCACATGGAGAAGAAATCACTGCAGTACTGAGAGCATCAGTGCGGAGGAGGGTGTTGTTGGCCATACCAATGCCTTTACCATGGTTGTTGGTGATAAGGGCCGCGTGGGCTATGCACTATAGATGTTGGCACCATAGACTGTAGTACTGCCGAACTGCTCATTGCGGCATGTTTGAGCAGCTCTGGCAGTACCAAGTCAGGGATGATAATTTCCCTTTAGTGCCTTTTTCCAAGCCAGCTTGCTTAGGGTCTTTGCCTCACACGTTACTCATGGTACTAGATTGGTCCGGCTACCTCAAAGGTAGATGGTGTTGGTGCAGTAAGTACCGATGGGGTGTGACGGGTCAGAGAACATCTCTTTTGGTCTGATTCCTGAGAAGGGGAGGTTGAAGCCTGCTTATTAGTCATTCTTTTGGCACAGTATTCCTCTGAGATGGTGGTTAGATGTCATCTTTGGAATCCAGTGCCCAGGAGAGGTTGGATCTCAGACACCAGGTGCAGAGACTTTTCCATTGCAAGTTTTAGGTGTAGAGCTCTTTCTTTCCTGGCACAAGCCTGGAGATTGTGACGGTGTGAGCACTTATGGCATGTCTCTCTCACCAATGCAGCAGACACACTGAGTGCCAGCAATGAGGCAATATTTTAAAATCCGGGAGCCAGGCACGAGGGAGGGAAATTAGACTACACAAAAGTGTATCTTAGCTGAAACTTAAATTCCTAAGAACAAAAAATAAAAAATAAAAATAAAAAAAAATCAAGAAAAAATAAATAGGGTAGTAAACTAAACTATTAACTAACTAGTATTCTGAAAGTAAAGACAGACTAAGATTAGCTCAGAGGTATTGCCAATTGTTCTATTTTATAGTAAAGGTGATAGAGAAGAAACTGAGGGTGGTTTGGTGGCACAGTACTATGGAACCACCTAAGATGGCACAAGATGGGGACCCAATCAGGCACTGAAGGATTTTAGTAGCAGTTACAAGTTCACAGACACAGATTCATCTAAAGTAAAGCACCCGCAGGGACTCTCCTCAAAGATCAATAGTTTGCATGTGCCCTGATAGAGCTTAACAGACAAACTCTAACGATCCCATCCTCAGTGAACATGCTCCATCTCCTCACAGCTCTTACATGGGCACCATCTCCACAGAGCAGTTGGGCTTGCTCCAGCCCCAGGCTACAAGAGCAAAGCCACACTTGCGCTATCATAGCTGCTTAGAGATGGGATAGGGCTCCGAACTGAGAGCAGGAAGCCTGTCTCTCCCGTGCTCACGATGACCCTAGGGACTGGCAGCAAGCATGATGGAGGATGAAGCTGCTGGATTCAAAAACAAACTTCAGACCTAGGAGGGAGGAGAATGTTAGGGATGTTGGGTGGGGTGGGGGGAGAAAAGTGTAGAGGTAGCAGGGGATTATGGGGAGAAGCAGCCTGGGTAGTAGAAACTGGGACTTGAAGCTTAGAGGATGACAGTGAACAAATGGAGCAAGAGAGGTGACAAGGTGGGATGTGGAGGGAGAACTGGGACTGGCAGGATTCAAAGAAAGTGAGGAGACAGATTAGATGAGAAGCTGGAGGAAGCCAGACAGAAGAGGGAACATGAGTGGAGAAGAAAGAGATTGGGGGATTGAAGAATAAAGTGCGACAGCCTAGGCAAAGAGACTGGGACTGAATGAGGCAACTGCAGGAGTAAAACTAGGATTTACTTAGGAGATTGGACCAGGATCAGAAGCCTAAGGAGTTAAGAGTGGACTTGAACAAGTGGCCAGTGATGGGGCATACAGAGGAGAAAAAAAGATTGGAGAGGATGTCCCAGAAGTCAATCCTGGGGTGAAGGACCATAGTCTGTGCCCACTAGAACACATTCCCTTCCAGAATAGAATGGAACCCCGAATCTCAATTCCTCTACTGTCAGCAAGTATCTGCGAAACCCATTGGCACAGCATGTCTCACATCCCTCTCTAGCTCTGGTGCAGAAAGAGGTTAGCAACTTACCATTGCTACCAGTTAGTTCAACTGGAAGAGGTCTTTCTGGTGGATCTAAATATTCCAACCCTGCTGATGAATAAGGTCAGTGTCAATAGCACATGATGGCATTTGTTTTTTAACCTAGAAATTCACATGCAAAAAACTATACTGTAAAGAGCCGAGCACTTTAGAAAATAGGAGTCTTGTCTCGCTCTCATTGTTAAAGGGTGCAAAGCAAAACACTCAGAAGTTAGGAAATATCAGTATTAAGGTTGCCTGTACAACCTTACAGGCAACCTTAATTCAGCCCCCATGTTTCTATTACCCATCCATCCAATTCTTATGTCAGTAGGCATCTTTGTCTGAAACAAAGTACTGTGCTCCAAGGCAGTTACTCAAATGGACAGCCAAACTTTCCAAATAAATAATGATGTGGAAACAGACCCACTGATAGAAGCTGGAGAGGGGAAGGGAAAAGGACAACTGCGCCAAGACCCAGCAATTCAAAATGGTCCGGGGCTTTGGAGCTCCAGGCCCTTTAAATTGCCACCAGAGCACCACAAAGCACATTCCAGGCAGCTCTGAGGGCTAGGGGGAGGGTGGTGCTGAGGACTATCTGCCTGGCCCCACCCCTTCTGCCAGAGGCCCTATGCCTTTTGGGGGGCACAGAGCCAGCCCTCTCCACCTTGCTCAGAGCCCAATGAAGCTATGGGTTCTCCTGTCTGAGAATAAGTCAGTGTGGCAAGTGGGTGTATCTTTCTCAAGTGCTTGGCCCATCCACAGCACTCCCATCCTTGATCATTAATGAAACACTGATCACATTCCTTTTTACAGAAGCTGGTCCCTTAGGGCAAGCAGTTACTGGATATGAGAATTATCACACCACAAACAGTAACAGACTCTGGTATCTGATGTAACACTTTCAGCTCTGAGAGTTCTAGTCTACTTCAGACACCGTTAGCGCATGCCCATTTTGTTTCTATTTTCAACCTAGACGTGAAGTTAGGGGTTGAATACCTCTCTAGTTAAACAACAGCATTTCTAAGTTTTTTGGAAGGGGTCATTGTCTTAATCCCAGTGAACTAGGTTAAAAGTTTCAAACGTATAGAGTTAAACCACCTTTTACACAAGAGATAAAAAAGGGTGAAAGAAACCAATATACACAGAAGGGGGGGAAAAAGGATTGTAGCTGAAATTCGAGGCGGAGACCAAAATGAATGATGTTCCAAGATAGCAGGAACTTCAGAAGAGGTGGCTCTCTCACCAGAAAGGAAAGATGCAAGTAGGAAGACAAGGAAGCAGACACTAAAGAGAGTGGAGACACACCATCTATAAAACAGGCAAGAGTAATTCCATGAAGAGCTTTTAAAAATCTGGAATTGATTCTTAAGATGAATGAGTGATCAATAGAACTATCTGCGAATCTTTATTAAGACTGAAACTTTTCCATACCTTCCAATTTCCCAAGATAGTGCCCAACTCAAGAAGTGAAATACAAAGCTCTCTTCAAATTTCTTGGTCAACTTACAGCTCTCTTGAATCTTTTGTCCAACCTCACTGCACACACTTTGAAAAAAGATGGCTTTGTAATTCTTCTGCTTCTCCTCCACCATTTGACCCCTCATCTAACATTATATGTAAAATGAAAGATTTCAATAACAACAACAGGATGTTTTGAGGGTGGTCCTTAACATGAAAGGCAGAACAAGAATGCAGGTCTTTGCTATGCATATGTAGTTTTGTGTCACTTTGATAATAACAAACTTAATTTATAAACACGTTTTTAAATGATAAAGTAGAGTTGATATACTATGTAAGTACAACTTCCTTGAAGTTTAAAAATAATCATGATTATTAGCAGAGTGAAAAAATCATCATTTGGGAGCAAAATTATTTTTTCCATGAAGTTGAGAGCAGAGAAAGGATGGTGCCAAAACACATACAGACATGAAAGAGATAAGGAAAGTGATCTGAGATGGTCAAAAAAAGCCCTGATTGTATTTTTATTATTAAACGTGTCACATCTACGACAATAGGTATATCAAATTAGAGTCAAATATTTTACAATGCCTCATTTCCTAAAGTGATATAATGGAGAGAGGGGGAAAATGTAATGGAAATAATATAATCTTAGTTTAAGGTTTTTTATCTAGTTTATTAAATATTGCTTTTTGGGGTCATGTTTACAACAAGCCCAAATAATTTTGTTTAAAGATTCAAAGCAGTAATATTAAAATACAGTTTCAATATAAAGTTTGTCACAGTTTTACAGTATTCAAAATGACAAATCTGCCTTTAAAAAAAACAAATCTATGACACCAAAAACATAAGAAAAAAACAAATAAGTTTGGCATTTTCATAATCTTAGTATAAAACAGAATATTAAATCTATTAGCCGCAAGCTGACACTTTAATCTATTACCTAGTCAGAAATGTCTCCCATTAAAACACACTATACAAGAGCACTATATAAAAGTTATGTTGATCATTCGATGAAAGTGCATCCCTGAAAGTTTCCCAGTTTAATATATTTAGCTCTTTAAAAAAACATAACATGTCAAAATGTCCTTTTCTCCATTTTTATTGAAGTCTTTACTTCAGAGATTGATTTTTTTGCTCCTTAGTTTCTTGTTTTTCAGTCTTGTTTTAAAAGTGTCTATGGGCGCCCACCAGGGGGCAGGGCAAGATTAACCATTAAATCACGTACAGCTCCAAATATTGTGCATTCACCTGGAACAGGAAAAAAATACAGGTTAGCATAACAGAGAAAAAACAAACAAACAATCAGGGGTTAATTTAATGTGTAACCAGCAAGCAAAGCATGCCACACAAGCTCACTCCACACTGGAACTCACACAGTGCTTTGAGATTTTTAAATACTGTTTAAAACTACTGTAACATCATTTAAGCAACTAAATTTGCCCACACTGGCTGGTTCACCAGTATTGAAATGTTGTTTAGCCTACAGTTTTAGCCTTAGAAGGGAACTGGCCTTCAAGAGAGTGCGCTGTTAAGACTTGCAAATTACACTGACCTCAGGGACTTGGCTTGTATGAATGTGTCATTTCAGGATGTTGTTTTTGTACCTCTGGAACAAGTTCCCAAACTCATTTATTCCAACAGGGTTAAGTTTGTGAATTTGTTAAGTAAGGTAATTTCAACTTGAATCGGTCAGCAGACTCTGTCAGATGCTAGTGGGAGCTAGTATTAAGACTCCAATACCTTTTGAGCCTCATGGATCCATGGGATGATTTATCTTACAGGGAATGTCTAGTTCTTCTGTCACCTGTTCATAACAAGCTTACAAATGCTGCACCGTATACAATTATTTGGTTTCATAACTTCAAAGAAGTGACAAAAATGTTCATATTATTTGAGTATCAGCAGCAGATAAATTACTTTAAAAAAACCCAAGAAGTCTGAAACTAGTGCTCGGTGAGAAATTGTTTCCCATCCCACAAGAATTTAAGGTGTCAAAAAAATTCCGCATCCTAAAAAATAAATTAAGAAAAAAGCCCACAAAAGATTTTTTTATGGGCTCAGCTGAAACATTGTGTTTTGTTTTTAACTTTTCATTTGAATTTACAAATTTTGAAGTGAAAAGTTATTTCACTGTTTGACATTTTTTTAAAGTGAGACATGGGCAATCCAAAATTTCTACTTTTCTGAAATGGAAAATTCTTCAAAGCCAGACGTTTCTCATAAGCAAGCAGCAAGCACTTCCAGCAAAAAGTTCCCAAAATGTCCCTATTTGTTATGCAGTTTGGTTTCAATGATCTAAACAATTCCTTAGAAGAATTTGACAAAAACATAAAAATATATAATCACCACAAGCCAACATCAAGAAATTCTCATTTTTATTCCAGCAAGACTCCAGATTTTAGGCTACACAGTTTCCTAATTCCTTTCTCTCAGGAAGTGTATTACTGGTACAATTTAGAAAATAAAGTGTAAGTTTTCACCTAGTCAGTTCTTTGGGCTGCATGCTTCCTCTCTCCACTTAACTTTGGACCACTTAAGCAGTCTCGTAGAGGTAGCCTCGTTAGTCTGTATTTGCAAAAACAATTAGGAGTCCTGTGGCATCTTAAGCAATACCTACACAGCAGTATTACTCCAAAACAACAGGCGTTATTCCAAAATAACATAGTGCATGTGTATACTACAAGCCTTTATTTTTAAATAATGTTGAGCTGGAGGACTTCTTATTCTGACTCATGGTAACCGTCATTTCACAAGGAATAAGGGAAGTCGAAGGACGAGTGTTCTTCCTTCGACTTCCCGTTGTGTAAACAGCTCCAAATGTCGAGTTAAGCTATTTCGACTTCAGCTATGCAATTGACATAGTTGAAGTTGCATAGCTTAATTCGACTTTTGCCCTGCTGTGTAGACGTACCCTCAGAAACTAACAGGTATATATTAGGGCATAAGTTTTTGTGGGTGAAAACCCCAGTGGCTTTTACCCGTGAAAGCTTATCCCCTAATATATATTAGTCTCTAAATTGCCACAGGACTCCTCATTGGTTTTACTTAAACAGTGTCAATTAATATCTGTTATGTTTTGCTTTTGAGGGACCAGGGTACGATCCAACTGATTAGAACAGAGTGCACT